TTTTTCTTCAGATGGTGAAGAAAACTTGCACAGTGAGACGAACTTTGATTGACAAGCAGGAACTTTTATCAGTGATTACAAAAGAACCATGGATAATAATCATCCAGAAACCTCACCATTATAAAATTTCATTATCAACATAAAGAGCAAACTGTACATACATTTTTGGTTTGAGGGTCTGATGCAAAAACCTACTGAATCCAAAAGATTCTCATTAATTTCAAAGCTTTTTGGACCTGGACACTAACTGCTGCCTTTACAAAGAGCAGCTTTTGTTTTTAGAATATAGAGCAGAAACATTTGAAAACAGGTTCTGTTTTGAGAAATATGTGCGTCCTTTGGAAGTTAAATTAACCATGACTTTGTCACTGAATGAAAAAACAGGAGAAACTGAATCAAGGTTGATAATGAGCTGCAAAATGGAATCGTTAATGTCCATGCTTATTATAGAGATAGCAATTAAAGTAGTCCAATTAATTTTCATGTGCGAGACCAGCAAACTCATAGTCCAGATAAACTGTAGTGGAGACAGTAATAAAAGACATTTCATTTGTGTTTAGGAGACTATTTTGTGCATTTGTGAAACAGTAATTTTTCTCCAGTTTATCAATATCAAGGAAGAACTTTTTCTGTGTTTCTGGTTCACTTGGCCTCAAGATTGTATGGAAGTAAAAAATATCTTCAATACAAATACAATTTTCAAAAACCAAAATGAAACAAAACTTACTTTAGGTCTATATATCACAACTGGTCCTTGTAGCACAAGATAAAATGTTTTAGGAATCCTTATCCTGTTCATCAACAGGTATTACTCTTTAGTGACTTATGCTGAGTAACACTGAATGAACAATGACTGTCATCATGATATGCATAATTAAACTCAAAGGTATTCAATGTATGCTGACTGAGAACAGATGAGACCCTCCTGAAGAAAGAGATAATTGCTTTTCTGAATGTTTCTGTGCAAGTAAAACCCTTTTCTATCTCGAAGTAAGAAGAAAGGTATAACCATATCAAGTTCTGAACAGTAAGCACTGTTATTCTGTCCTTTGTGATAGTGTTTAGAGACTACTGCTGGATCAGGATCCTATTTGTAGACACCATGCAGAAAAAAAAACACCAATGCTACCCCTGCTTCAAAACAGTTCAGTTATGGCCAGTAGTAATGCTTTGTAGGTATGCTACACTGTCAAAATGCTCCTAGTGTGTGCGCATCTTGTATGAACAAAACTGTACTTTTGTTAGCATAGCTTTTTGCAGGAAACTGCTTCCTCTGAGAAAAAAAAAAAACAAACAAAAACAGAAAAAACTGTAAGAGGAAAAGCACCATGCCTTATCTTACCTTTGACCAATACAGCTCTTGCTTATGATTCTGACAATTCACTACAGGTGAAGAGTCAGATAAAAACTGAGAGGTGAGATCCAGTTTTATGAGACCACTCCTGAGCTTGAAAGTTGTTCTTCTAGTATAAAAATCTCATTTGTGGATGTGATTTTTGTACTGATATAGCTTTACCAGTGCAAACCCTCTTGTGGATACATTTATATTAGTACACGGGTACGTCATACTTTTATAGCTTATCCCTTTCTCATACAGTAATAACTATCTTGGTATGAATCAGCTCTTTATTGATAAAACTGCATCTGCACTAGGAGACTCAAAATTTGCATTGTGTGGGGTTTGATAACCATGACTTTTTCCTGGTTCTCTCTGTGCACAAGGATAGGAAATTCACTAATCATTTTTTTCTCTTTTTCCCTTGTTGGTTTTCATTTGTTTGGGTTATCACTGCTATAGGAAATGGAAAGATGGTTGTTCAGATACTGGGATATGTATTACAAACTGTGGAGCACTCCAGCACCAATACAGAAAAAAAAAAAATACATTACTAACTTAAACATCAGCAGCACCTGAACTTCAGTCTTCATCCAAAGATCTGTCTATACTGCTCATGCGGACAAAGCTGAGCTAGCTTTTAAATTAGCTAGTATAGGTACTGGTAGCAGTTTATCTGCAATTGCATGGGCTTCAGCCACAGCCTTGGCCACACAGCTACATTTCTGTTAGTATTCAAGATAACTATTTTAAAGTTCTCTTGGGTATTATAGGATAATAGAAAATTAGGGTTGGGTGGGACCTTAGAAGGTCATCTAGTCCACCCCCTCCTCAAAGCAGGACCACCCCCAACTAGATCATGTTTGCATGAGTTGCAGCTATACCTCTGGATTATAGGGTAAACAGACACTGATGGTCCAGCTGATTACAATTTAATGGACCAGGGAAGTCAAGATAAAGATTTTGGACAAGATTTAAGATAGGGGCAAAATTCAAGTTATTGTGAAGGGCTGTGTATAGACAAAACAGGGGTTTACTTTGCCCTAAATTGAAGTGGTGGGTTTTTAAAAACCCTGCTTCAATTTAGGGTGAAGTAAACCCCTGTGTTGCATACAGCTATGTCTTACTTGCCTCTCTGGCAGCGGGGAGGGGAGGGCAAGCTGCCAGTAGGCAGTGATCCCTGGGCTGTGGGGAGGGAGGAGTTGGTGCTTCACTCCGTGGCAGTGGCGGCCCCCCAGGCTGCACCCACCCTCAGGCACCTGGCTCGGGCAGTCTTGGGAGGCACTGCAGCTGCAGAGGGAAGGACCAGGTCCCTGCGCAGCTCATGCAGGCAGGCAGGCTGGCTGGCTCCAGGGGGGCGTGGAAAGATCAGGCTCACAGCTTTTTTTTTCTTCTTCTTCTTCTTTTTCCTTTCTTGGGTGGAGCCTACCTTGCCAGGCTGCTGCCAGGCTGCCTGCATGGGCTGCCTGCACAGACAATGAGCTGCACGGAGCCCAATGCTTTGCTGCGTGGCTGTAGGGCAGCAGACTAAAGTGTTTGTTTGTTGTGCCCCGAAGTCATTTAAGGCGCATTATGACACCGAATGTGTTACAGTGACTGGAATTAACACTCAATACACCAATGTGTGCAAACACCAACACCATTAAAATAGCGCAAAAGCATTTAACCCACTTTAAAGTGTCGTGCACACAGGCCCCACATTTCATCTACACACTCCCAAGGTGTTCGTAGCACAAATTCTCTTGAGCTAACAGTGCAGTGAACATAAGCATTTAGAAGCAGCCTTGCCGCCTTCACCCTGTGGCTGACAGTAAATTGGGCAGCTTAGAGTTGATCTTATCTGTTGGCTTTCCCTTTCCTCTTATTAAACAAGAAAGGAAAGCTGCTGGGGGGGGGGGGCGGACTGGGAAAAGGACAGGGGATGGGAAGGAGACTGGAAGCTTTCTGGGTCACAGAAGGCCAAGGGGATGGAATGAAGAAAAATAAGAGAAGGCAAGGAATGTCAGCTAAAAACAGATGTCAGATTTTTCCTGGGATCCTATAAATGTACAAACCCATTAGCCCACATTAAGTACCTGTGAAGTATCAGAATACTTTGTCCTGGGACAATAGCAGCTAATTTGACTTAATTGCATTCAAGCTATATGGGTAAACAACTGACTTCAGGCCCAGATTAAACATGATGTCTGTTTGGTTTAAACACAGGCTAGATATAGACATTACAAACAAACCAGTATAAAAGACTGGAAACCAGTATAACCCTGTAACAGAAGCTCAGAGCATACAGACCAGTTTAAAATGGTACAACCCAGTCTGAGATAGACCTGGATGGATGTAGTATCAGACTTAATCAGTTTAGGTTAGATTGGTCCATCAAAATTCTGCACAAGATCCTCTCCCGGCTCAATTTAGGTTGCTGTCCTCCAGCATCCTAGGATCCTTTGTGGATTCTTGCTAACCCCCCCATTACTGGGCAAGTGGGCTAGCCTCGGTCTGTGCTTGTTTGCTCCAGTCAAACTCTGGGCTATCCCTGCCTCTGTTCCTGGGCTGTTACAGAGCTGAGGCAGCAAAGCCTCTGCTTCCCAGCCCTACATCCTGCCTGCTCCCGTCAGCTAGGTGGGGAAGGGGGAGGGCAGGTGAAAGGGGAGATGGAGCCTCCCACCCTAGCCCTAGGCCCCTTCCAAGCTGGGGTCTGCACAGCTAGGGGGTGTCCGTGTAGCAGGGATGTTCCTCCTCACTGACAGGCAGCTAGGCACCCAGGCAGGGGCAATGAGGGGAAAGCCCCCACTGCACAACCCCCCCAGCAGCTATGCAGACACCAGATTGGGGTAGGACTGGGATGGAGGGCTCTTTTCCCCTCCCTGGCCTACCCCCCCCCCCATCTACCACTGGGTAGGGGCAGCAAGGGGGAAAGCCCCTGCTGCATGGGTTCCCCCTAGCTATGCTGACCTCAACTTGTCTATGGCCAGGGGTGAAAGCCACATGGGTGAGATGCCCTAGGGCTGCATACTGTGTGGGCACACCCCTCTGCACTACACCATATCAAGATGCTCCCTTCACTTCCTCCAGTGTGCTGAGCCACGCTGCATATAAATGCTTCCCCTCTGTACTGCACCAAACCACACCATGTGTGGGTACTCCCTCTGCACAGTGCCATATGTACAAGCTCCCAGTTTCGTCCCCAGTTCCCCAGGCTGAGGGCTGCACTGCCATACCCAATGCCATCCCAGATATGGGAACAGGAAGTGAATGCAAGGGGAGCCTGGAGTTTTTGCTGCTGCAACCCAAGTAGTGGGAGCTCAGAGGCCACAAATTAATCTCTTGTGGCTACATGCAGCCCATGGGCCACAAGTTGGAGAGCCTTAAGTGGTCTACAAGTAAGATTTCTCAAAGTATAAAACAGAATTGCAAGGCATATGCCCTGTTTTGAGCAGCATTTCAACCCACTTGTTTGGGGGGGGTATTTTGCTTTTGATTTAATTTTCTCCTTTCTTATATCAGGAGTATGAAGCTAAAAAAAAAAAAAAAGAAGCCCTAAATCAAAGCAATCTCTCTTTGCATGCTGTTTGCCTCTGGTGTGGCTATTGCTTTTTAACATAATTGTCTCTACTTGTTTTTGTTTTCAAGGAAACCATCATATCATTCTCTGTGAAAACATCCTACCATGTGCAATTTGTGGATTAAATGGATAGCAATTACAATGCTGCTTATTATGACCAATGGTCAACTGCTCAAGCAAGCAAAAGCCCCACTGTTACTCCATAAGCCGTTCATTGTTGTTTGGAATGCACCTACAGAACAGTGCAGGCTCCGGTACAAGGTAGACTTAGACCTCAGCGTTTTTGACATTGCTTCAAACACTAATGAGACTTTGAGTGGATCCAATGTGACAATCTTTTATCACACTCATCTGGGGCATTACCCCTTTTACTCTGACAATGGATATCCTGTAAATGGAGGGGTGCCACAAAATGAAAGCCTTATAAAACACCTTAACAAAGCTAAGTCTGACATTGACTATTCCATACCCATGAAGAAATTCCAAGGCCTTGCAGTCATTGACTGGGAAAACTGGAGACCCCAGTGGGATAGGAATTGGGGTAATAAAACCATTTATAGAAATAAGTCCCTCGAACTAGTTAGGAGGCGCCATCCTCAGTGGTCAGAGGACAAACTTAGGAAAGTTGCTAAGGAGGAATTTGAGAATGCTGGCAAGAGTTTCATGAACAACACTATTCTTCTGGCTGAACATATGAGACCAAATGGTCTGTGGGGCTACTATCTTTACCCAGACTGCTACAATTACGATTACAAGGAACATCCACAAGCATACACAGGAAAATGCCCAGACATTGAATCTGCCCGCAATGATCTCCTGATTTGGTTATGGAAAGAAAGTACTGCTCTCTATCCTTCCATTTACCTGGATTATATATTGAAGTCAAGTTCAAATGCTCTGAAATTTGTTCACTATCGGGTTAAGGAAGCAATCCGTATTGCCTCAATTGCTAGAAAAGACTACATATTGCCTGTTTTTGTTTACTCCAGACCATTTTATGCCTATACTTTCTATGTGTTGACAGAGGTAAGCAGATAAATAGAGAAATCTAAATAGCTAGACAGTTCCTTGGAAAAGCTACTCTCTCAAATTTCTCTTTATAGTTACAGCTGCAATTGTTTGATATCTAGAACAGCACTTTTAAAGAAAAGTACTGCAGTATACTACAAAACACTGAAGCTTCCAATAATGAGTCCATGGTCTTTGTGTCTATTTCTGTAGAATAATGATATATTTTTGATGAGGGTAATTAGAAGAAAGTAGAGAGAAATTGCTTCCTCAAGGAAGTAATTCATTCCAATATTTTAATTTTTCAGTACAGCTGTGAAACGGAGTTGACAAATCTTTGTGAAGTTTGAAACCAATTAATACAACAGGAAGATAAACTTTCATGAGAAAGAAACCTCGGGGCTTATTTATCTTCCTCACATGGAAGTTCACTTAGCATAGAAGTAAGCTAGTCAAATAAATTGGTCTCACCTAAGCCTTGTCTGGGATTTCTAGCTCCTACATGAGGAAACTCCCACTGTACAGTATGGGGCTGTAGACACCTTTGGAGGTAGCAGGCATCTCCTGGCTGTCTGGCTTTTTGTAATTATGATCTAGTACCTGTTTTCCCCCCCTTGTTTTGAAGTTTTACTTTACTGAAATTAAATTGTTGTGTCATGTAATGCCTCTTCAGCCAGTAATAATGGAAGGAAATATTTTTAAAAATAAAATGTATAGAGAGGTTACAACGTAAGTAGCACAGATATATACACAGACACCAATGGTTTCTGATAATATCATTGAAAGTATGATTTATGGCCTTGACTCTGTCTATGCAAGTGGCAAAGAACATGTAATCCAGGACATTTGTTTGCTGTCTTAGACACCTGTTCTAGCCTGAGTGTAGAAAGGTTTGGTGGGGACCTAGTACCAGGCAGAAAGCTCATGCAAATATATCCCCTCCTGCCAACATCTTTATGGATGTGGATTCTTTGCCACCCTCCTGGATCATGGATGGCAGCAGTGTACCACAAAGTGCTGAACAAAGAGACTCCAAGACTCTTGCAATCAAAAAATAAATTACAACATGGTCAGGGGGCTGGGGTAGTGGTGATCAGTCAGTGTTGTATTCTTCACCCCTAAGCTGCCATCAAAGCCTGTGCATAGTCAGAGCCAGGAGCAGCCTGAGGCCTATGGGAAACCACACTCGTTTAGATCTGTTAGTAGGAAATCTTGGCTGGACTCAAGCATATCCCTGCAGTCTCGGAGGATTTTAAGTCAGAAACTGGTCAAAGCCACAGTTTCAGAAGCATTCATTAATTTTGAGGCCCCAGGTTTTTTGTCTTTGCAACCCAAGACTCTTTGATTTTCAGGTGGTGAGGACTCACTTTAAGGGAACTGCAAGTCCTCAATATCTTCAAAAACTGGGACTCAAAGGAATGATATATTTTGCCATTGACTTCAGTGGAGTCAGGATTCCATTTAAAGATGCTTCACTTGAGAATTCAAAATGCACACAAAGTTGGTGAATACTACTGAAAACAACAGGTATAAATAGTTATGGTGGTTATAAGTGACAGGTTTTTTTGTAAACATTATGCAAACCCATCTTAATATGGAAATATCATTGACATTGCCTAAAATCCTACAATATAGTTTGCCACTTTAGTGTAGTTTATGCACACCTTAAACATTTAAAGCTATCTAAAGCTCATTTTTAACCCGAACTAGCTTCCAAGCTTCATAACAGTCATACAGTAGTCATTATTTAAAATAATATTTTCTCCTATGTTACCCTCTTTACCTTCAGGTCTACATTTCACTCAATTAGTGTATGTATCTTTTTATACCTGGATGCTTTAGAGATCTCTTTAAAACTTTCAGCAGTTATATGTCAGGTCCATTCACAACAGAAGAACTATAGGCATTTCAGTAACCTCACTATCAGCACTGCTCTGGTAGCAGACTGTAACAGGTCGCCCACCCCGGCGCCATCTTTCTGGTAATCTATGCCTTCTGTGGGGTGCCCTTGGAGCCTTCTTCGTGGCTCTTCTGTCCCACCCTATACTCATCTGCCACGTCTTGATGGAAAATTATTATGCGAGTGGGAGACTGCCTATTGAATTGGGTATGTTGGGGCCATTCTCCTGACCCCTGCTTTTTCTCTGCCTAGGCCTCTTTGTCTGAACCCACTAAACAGGTTTTGACTCTGAGGAGCTAGCTTTTTCTGGTGTCTTGGGGCTCGTGGCCCCCTTCCTGCTCCAAGCATAAGCCTGGCTCTCCCTAGCCCAGAGACCTGGGTGCCAACCCCACAGCCAAAGGGCTGCAAGTTTGAAACCAGGAGGCACCTCAAACTCACCCCCTTTTAGTCCAAAACACAATTGACCTTCCTAGTCTTTTTCAAGATCATGCCTTCAGGCGCCGGGGTCCATGCCCCCAAGAGCTGCGCCCGCTCTGGTGCTGGGGTCTGTACCCCAAAAAGCTGCACCCTCACTGGCGCTGGGGTCTGTGCCACTATGAGGCCTTCTCCATCCCCTAACCACCAGGTATTATTCAATAACCAAAAGAAATATGAACAGTCCTGTCCATGAGCAATAACTGCCCCCACAAAAAGCGTGTGGTCAAAGAAATCCACATGCCAGCTTACATTTACACCAGGTTCTTGCTTTGGCTCCCCACTGTTGGCTTCTGGGGTGGCTTCTCTCTCTCAGGGCCCCCGCAGTCCCTCTTCCAACCTTTGGATTGCTCACCAGGCCGCTCCTCGGAGCTCTGGGTTGCACTCCTTTTCCTTCAACTGCTAGCCCCCTTACTGCCATTCTGCCCCGGGTTCTTATAGTCCTGCCCCTTCTGGTCAGCTGACTAGCTGGCCAGGCCCAGCCTTTAACCCCTTCCATCCCAGTACTCTGAGTCCAGAAGGTTCTGGCCTTAAAGGGGCGGGCCTGCTTTCTAGTGACAGGGCTAGGGTTCCCTGTTACACAGACCAAACAGTGAAGTGTGTTTTTCAGGCCTCTGACAGTTGTTACATTTAAGATGTGATTAACTGATTGGGTGTCCCAGCTGGGGGAATGCACTGGAGCCCTTAACCTGGCAAGAAACATGTGCGCCATGGCAGGAGGTGCGATTGTTGGGGTTGTGCATCAGACCCTGTGGTGCCTTCAATATAACATCTGTCATTAGCCCCAGACAAGTTACCTCTGCAGATCCCCTTTTCCATGGGAAGCATTCTCTCTTTTTGTGGAGCACACTGCCTTTTTATGTGAACCTAGGCATCTCATCTGAGCAGCAGCTACTTTTACTTTCCAGCCATCTGCTTGCCCACTCCTTTCCACTTGTTTCAAGATGGGAGTGGCAGCTCCTGAATTTTCTCCCTATAGTTCTAATCTGCCAGACTGCACATGGGAGTAACAAGGACTTTACTGCATGGGAACCCTGAGTTGCTAAATCCTTATTCAGCAACTCAGGGTTCCCATGTAGTAAAGTCCTTGTTAAGACAATTTAGCCCTATGAAAATACAGCTTGTATTTGCTGGCTGACACAATATGACATTGTGGGCGCATCCCCATATATAGGGGCATGTGGTTGCCATGGCAAAAATAGCAGTGGCACAAATGTGGGGTTGATGTGAGGCAAATTGTTCCAGGTGGGGTAGGGCCAGCACCTATGCTGGCCCCAGCAGCCTTACCTGGGTTCCTTGAGGCCTTTTGGGGCATCAGCGGTGGTAATCCGGCCACTTGGAGCCTGGCCAGTAGCCAGAGCATGGCCCTGACTGGCCAGGCTCTGGTTTCCAGCACTGCATGCTGCTGCTGCATGGACCACAACACTTTTTTTAGTGGCATTTTTTAGTGGGATCTCCCATTGTCAAATTTAGCAGTGAAGCAATGCTTGCACATGCACTATGTGTGGTTTGCAGTGCTTCAAACTGTGTTGAGGAGCCACAAACCTCATGCGTGTGCTAGTGGAGATGCACCCTGTATGTCTGCCCTGATCTGTACAATACTAAAGATACAGCAGAGGTCATTCATTGAGAGAGAAACATTGAAACAAAAGCTGTGGGGAAGGGAGATATTGTCCTGAGAGATAATTGAACCTTCAGCAGCCCTTCATCAAGACAGAAGACTCAGGTTCAAAATGTCGCTGCAGCTGTGTTGCCCATACTCCATGACTCAAAGTGCACTGATTGCATTTAGAACTGGATTCATTGCAAAATAAGGCAGCTGAGAACTCTTGCTTGCATTTTCTTTGCAAATCACTTTCAAACTGAACCTAGTTCATTTATGGGGTATTTAGAAACTGCCCACCTAAACTGTTCATTACTAATGAGATGTGATCAGTCATTTAAGTTGTATGCTAGCATCCCTGCTCCCTGCCTGGATGACTGAGATTATTAATAAAGCAGAATGACAAATAACAAATGAGACTAATGAATAACAACTGCTC